TTTTTGTGCTCGTTTTTACTCTGGTTTTGGTGTTGGCAACAAATTAACCTTCACAGACCCATGGTATGGTTAAAGAAAGACATGTCAAGAATCATGTAAATAACGGTTTTTTTTAAGGTATATTTATTGTATTTTTTAATTAATTTACAAGAAAATAATATTTATCCACTTTTCTTCTTAATCTTTGAAAAAGATATTATTTCAAAATTACGTTATTTTAATAAATATCTATTTAAAAAAATTAAAATATGTTATTTTTAAAGCATGAATTAAAATTCTTTTATCTTTTTTTTAAAAAAATTTTTAAAGATAAGACAGATAAGTACTAACATCAATTTATAATAAAAATTTACTAAAATAAAATTTATTTTCAATGTTAATATTATTTAGAATGATTTATAAATGATTAATAAAATTTAATTTTTTATATAAATTAATAATTAAAAAAAATATAATAAATATATTTTTAACTTATGCTTTTAAAACACAAGTAAAAAATTTCTGTTAATAATTTGAAAAGCAAACCCTCTTATTATAAACCAGACTAATTCCTATGACCTATGACTCAATTAAACATGAATTGATTTTTGACAGGTAGATCCAGGTGTGGGTCTCCAAATTGAGATTTTGGGGTTGAAGAAAGAAAATGTGTTTGTTAAATCCTATGGACAAGTTGTAGAATGTGTGGGGGTATGAAATTTAATGCCTCCTTTGTCCACTTCTTATGTGTGTGGAGAGTTGGTTGTCTTGTCCAATGCATTTTATGCTTTCTTCTTTCTCTCTCTTGGATAATTCAAGAAAATAATAAAATAAATAAATATCATTCAACATTAAAACCAACTTTTCATTAAAAAAAAGAAAAAAAGAAAAAAAAAAGGAAAGAAAAGAAAAAAAAACACACTGGCATTGGTGTATTGTACTTTACGTGTAATTAACTCACTCCCAACTTGCATCGAAAGAATTCCCAAAGAAATCTCCGTTTCCATCACAAGTTGTTGCCACTTTTTGCATACACTTCCTTTTTCCCATGAAAATCTCATTGCAACTATCCAAATAAAAATAAAATATATATTTGTATCATGAGTTTGTTTAATATGTATATTTAAAATAAAGTGAAGGTATAATAAATATATTTTTAATTCATTAACAAAATAATTTAATATTTGAACTCTAATTTATTTTAAAAATCAAAATTAGTACTCACTTTTCCAATTTATAAATAAGTTCAAGTATTTATAATTATTGTATCTTGAAAACACTAAAATTTAGAATCTTTCATAATATAAGCCAATAAGAGTCATAAATACTCCTTTCTTAAAAGGACAGAAAATGGGACAAATTCTTATTACTACTCAATGCAAAATAATTAGAAAATCTCCTCTCTAAGATGCACAAGATCAAGGACAATCAAAGAATTAACCATTCTCTTGATTTCACATGGTCATAGCAACTATTCTCACAAATTTAATAAGAAAGAATGTTTAAAATAAAAACATGATTTAATGTGGCATGGCACGGACAGCATATATGCCCATAT